TGTTCTTAGCAGACTCCTCAACATGGCCCAAAGATGTATTTTCATTCAGTACTTGAGCAAGCTTAATTTTGTATCTGCTTCCAAAAAATCCCAAACTCAGAACAAGAGTTAGAAAGCAGGATTTTTTATTTTTATTTTTTATTTTTTTATTTTTCCCAATACTCTGAGAAAGTGTTAAACACTTAGAGTGCTAATACCAGAACTACTCACCTTGGCCAGAGTTGCAAAGCTTGCTCTGTGCTCCCTGCCTCTGCCTGAGCGTGCCTCAAGGAGCAGTCAGTATTCAGTAACTGCAGGCCATCTTCTTTTAAAGAAAAAATAGAGAACAAGTATTTCTCTGGTATAGTTCTATTCATTTTTAGAGACTGTATAGCACGGTACTGTTTGCCTTTGTGTAGGATGGACTGAGCAGAAAGCAGAAGTTTTTTTCCCCTGTGTTTTGAATCTTAGCTTAAAAGTCTTTCATGGACTTTTTGCTGTTTTCTGTGGCATTTCTGTTGTTTCCCCTATTCTGGCAAATATCATCCAGCTGCCTGTAGGTGAGCAGCTGCTTTTGGTGGCTCAGCATGTAAGGTTAGTGGCTCATTTGGGCGCCTGCTGCTACATGTGGCCCATTTTTGCTGATTAGGCCTGAGTGCTCAAATGTGTCATATGCCACTCCAGGGTGAAATGTCCCTTATAAAGCTGGCTGCTCTAATTTTCCAGGCAGAAATTGCTGGTTCCAGAGCCCAGCTGTTGTGTGGATCCATGTTCATGGCCCTGAGTTACACTTTCAGTTGAGTACCTTAGAGTGCTTTGCAAACAGAGATTACTCATGCCTCACAAACCTCTGTATTACCTATTGCCAGAGAAGCAGTGAAACAAATAGGGAAAAAAAAACAATTTGCTGGTGCTCTTAACTGTAGCTGCACAACTCCAAGTAAGGAAAGTCTGGTTTTGCCTGCTGAGCTGAATTTTTTGAATTGAAGATGCTCAACATACCTGTGGCATCCTGATCCCGATCCCAGAGCTGCTGATTCTCTGATTCTCATGCCTTCACCCAGCTTCCAGCCTCCACTGAGCTTGTGGACTGTGCCTGTATGTGCCTGGATGTCATGTAGCTGCAGTGGATTCTGAAACATCTGTTACAACTTACTTGTGTAGCAACAGAGCTAGGGCAATTTCCAGCAAAAAACAAATGGAGGGAATAAATCTCTCATTTAAGCATTTGGAGTAGCTGTCTAAAGAGAAGAAATGTATGTTACAGTTGCAGGAAAATATGTGGTAAGAATTCAGGTTACAGCCAGGTAACAATCCTTCAGATGAGAAACATGATGGGCTGTAAATTTGTCTGGAAACTGATATGAACAATGAAGTGAGTGAACAGAAGATTATTTCCATAATTATATGGAAAATTATACATGAACTACAGCTGGTCAGCTTCCATCTGATCTTATTTACAGCAAGACCTGATATTTCCATCTACCTGGTTTCCAGCAGGGTCACTTTCCCTTAATACCATTTGGTATCAAGGTTAGTATCTGGAGGAGTTGTGTTTCTAGTAGACTTTGTAGAGCTGGATGGAGCATGTCTCTGTCCCACAGGGAGGGCAAACTCACCCATGATCCTCTTCCTCGAGCATCTTCCTCTCCATGCTCCAGTAAGTAGTTGCTTTCCTCCTGCAGTTGTACACACTGCAAGAAGAGTTCTGGAAACCTCTTCAGCAGTGCTCTCTCCCCAGAATGATTTTCCTTACCCAGTCTGTGGATGTTCACACTGTACAACAGAGGCTGGAGACATCCTGCTGGTCCCTGTACTCTGGAGGGGTGTTTCAGGTTGGACTTTGCAACTCTTGCCTCTGTAGTGAACACTAGAAGGATCTTGCCCAGAGGAGCAATTAGTTGAGACTGTTCCACAGCAGCCTAAAAGGCGGGGGGTTTTTTTGGAAGGAGTAAGGTTTTACAATACAATATCCGGATGGGAGTTTGAGGAAACACTGTTCTCACTGTCACAATCTATCCATCTCCCACATGGCAAGAGCTTCACCTACCAAAAATGGAGATAAGTTGCAGATTTTTTTCTCTGCTTACTCATCTTGTATTTGGAAAAAAACAAAAACAAAACAGTAACCAACTAGAAAATAACATAATATTTCTAAACCCGTTTTGTGTTGGCTTCTGTCCAACCCTCATTTCTTCAGTCCTTCACATGATTAGATTTCACTGATGCACAAACAGGTAATTTCAAATTAAAAAATCACAAACCCAAGGCAACCTGTATCATATTAAGTTGAGGAAAAAGAATTCTAAGGCTGGAGGCAAGAATGCAAAGTAAAAGAGTGGATGGAGACAAGTCTGCACCCAAAGCTGCAGATGAAAACCTCCTTGCCTGCTCTCTCCCGAAGTACCTCTGTACAACAGGTATGAGGCCCTGGATGTGCAAGGCTGTCTGAGGGCAGCAACAGCTCACTCAGTCCTGACATGCTAACAAAACCAAACCAGGAAAAGCCTTCCCCTAAACACTAAGACTGCTTCATTGAAGAACAGATAGGTATTGGTTGTAGGTGATTCCTCCCTGCAGGGAACTGAATGTCCAATATGCAGAGCAGAACTTCTTCTTAGAGAAGTCTGCTATCTTCCTGGTGTGGGTGAGAGACAACGCCAGGAAACCACTAGCCTGGTATGGCTGACAGACCACAACCCTTATTGCTTCTTCATACAGGGAGACATGAGTTGGCTACATGTGGGTTAAGGGCTATCAAGAGATTTCAGGGCCTGGGGACAATGGCTAAAAGAATTGAATGCCCAGATCATCTTTTGTTCTTTGCCTCCTGTATTGGGTAAGGACACAGAAACAAGCCAAAGGATTATATCTTTAAATACCTGGCATTCTGGCTGGTGCTGTCACTAGAACTTTGGTTTTTTTGACATCCAATTAGTCTACATGGTACCTGGTTTGCGGGCATTGGATGAGGTTTGCCTTTCTCAAAGGGGAAGAAGGGTCCTTGGGGAAAAGCTAGATGGACTTATTGGGATGGCTTTACGCTAGGTGTGAAGGGGGATGGGGAGGATAGTGAGCTTTTCCATGATAAGGTGTGGGAAGGAATAACTGCACTAGAGATCCACAGAATGGAACACTTCTCCTATGTGGACAGGCTGAGAGAGGCTGGCACTCTTCAACCTGGAGAAGAGAAGGCTGCTAGGTGACCTGATAACAGCCTTTCATTATCTGAAGGAGAGCTACTGGAAAGAATGCAACAGACTCCTTAGCAGGGTCTGTGGTGATAGAACAAGGGGAAATGGCTTCACATTCAGGAAGGATAGATTTAGCTTGTATACAAGGAAAAAATCTTGTACAGTGAAGGTGGCGAGGCACTGGAACAGGTTGCCTAGTTATGTGGTTGATGGCCCGACCCTGGAAACATTCAAGGCAAGATGACTCTCAGAGGTCCCTTCCAACTCTAAGGATTCTATGATTCTAACAATCCCTGTAAGCAGGAGGAACGTCTCTGCTTGGTCTGAATGCTGCCGTCACAAACAGGGCATTAGCAGCAAATTCAGCTGTTCAGGCCTGAGGAATGCATGTTTTGTAACAATTCATGTGGAAAAAGAAAACAGAATTCATCAGTGATACAGCTGATTGCACAGCATAAATAAAAAAAGGCAAACGCCGTAAAAAATGCTCAAGTATACACCAGGGATATGGTATAACCAGCATGGAGATGCTTACATTAGTTGGCTTACAGTGTTAAGGACAAAAAGGTTGGATTAATTGCTGCTACAGTTAGCTGCATCAGGCAAAACCAACATTAATTATAAATGTAAAGTACTGCTGTAGTCAAATACTTTTTGGAGGAAAAAACATGCCTTTCAGCTGGATGGTTATGTCTAGTAGCAAAGATCTTGAACTTGGTCTTATGCTTAGCAGTATATAATCAATTTGCAGTGTTGAAATACTAAAGAGGCAGAAAGTATATAGCAATAGAATTAGCAGTTTCCAGAAGAGGTTTCTGGTTCTACTTTTTGTTTGTTTTCTTGTTTTGTATTTTTTCTTGTATCCTCAGTTGCACAGGAGTTACTCAGAAACAAAGCAAGAAAATGCCCTCTGAGCACTTCAGGTGATCAGGAAACATAGTGAAGGGGAAGAACAACAGTAATTCAACCCTGTATTTTAAAGAGCAAGCATTAAGCAATCATTTTGCCTAAGAACTCAAAAAGCAACACCTGCTAAGGTAAAATATGTTACTGACATGAAAGTCAGCCTACTGTCTTGAAGTTATAAAATGACGAAGGAAAAGGGGTTAGTATGTAGCCATTGCCAGTCCACACAAGGGAGTAAAGACTGTTGTAGAACCTTTTTTCCCCCTTTTGATTTATTTAAATACACAGCAGCTCTCATGCTGAAGAGGCAATTTCTAGCCTCTGACCCCTCCCTCTCACTTCAGAGGAAACAAACCTAACAAACACCCAGATAAATGTTATCACCATCAAACCAAGGAAGACAACAGTAAACCAACAACCTTAACAAACACACTTTTTCAGAGTGCTTAGTGACTTCAAACACCAGGAGCTGATAACACAAGCATGAAGATTAAAAATAAAATGCTGTATGGGGTTGTTATACCTCAGCTTTGAGCATTTTCTCAGCTCATATGTCAAATTTTCCATAACTTTACTAAAAATACTTCCTAACCACATGTTCCTTACAAACAAAAGCTGGGTTCTACTGCTCCTCCTTCCTACCTTCCTCTTTTATAACCTTCAGTCTGACTCCAACATCTGCAGCCCTGCAAGACTGCTGCTTGGATTTGGGTGCCATCTCTTTAACAAGAAAACTCTTCCACAGAGCATGTTATTACAAAAATGGTATTGGTATAGAAGTCTAACTCATGTGCTACACCTTAGTGGTTTGTGCTATAGTTAGAAAGCAAGACAGGGAGTTCTGAAGTGGTTGGCTCTTAAAATAGCGTGAGGAGTAGGCTTGAACACTGTTTAATAGCACAGCTCTGCTGTGAGCTTGCAGCATGCGTGTGGCAAGGGTAGCCTAAACACAATTTCTGAAATTTTCTTCTTTGATTACATCTATTCTCCATCTGTGTATATTCCCTTCACTGCTTATAAGGTTTTTTTCTTTCTTCTAAAAGAAGCATTTCCAGATGAAGAATGCACAGATGAAGATGCAGGACAAGAGAAGCTTGGAGGAAGGAATGCTCCCCTGTGCTGTGAGTCATTGGCCTTTGGGATGCTGCTTGGTACTGGACACTTAAATAAGGTCGAGGTGCCAGAGAGAGCTGAAAAGCACTTAGTATAGTTGACTGATAATATCTAACTTACCCTACATGGGATAAAGTGTTGTGAGAAATACACATATTACTCATAAGAATTAGTCATTTTCTGTCTGTCTCAAGTTAGTATGAAACTTGACTGACATTTCTCTTCAAATTAGGTTTGGTTTGTTTTTTTTTTTTTTTTAACTTGGCAGTGATAGCTATCACAGCAAACCTTCATGAAAATTAGCTTTCAAACTGCATTCTGTGCATCGGAATCAGGATGTGCACTTATGTACATGGGAGTGTCAACGACAAAGCAAGCAAGGAAGACTGTTTTGTTGGCTTATTCATATAAGAAAAGGGAATACTTCCAATGACTTTTTACTGGTCTGCATACTCAAAAAGTCTGGAAGTTGCAAGTCCCCTAAGGCAATCTAATCTTCCTTTAATGTTCCTAGGTAAACCAGTATTAAATAAAAATAAACAGGAAGACAATTAATTTGTAGGGAAGGCCCCCTAGGAATTGGGTTGGTGACCCTACCTATGGCAGGGGTTGAAACTAGATGATCTTTGAGGTCCTTTTCAACCCTGGCCATTCTATGATTCCATGATTCTGTGATTCTATGATGAATAAAGCCAGGGCAGAAAAAAGCCGATGGAGAAGTACACAGCCTGCTGCGGAGCAACTTCATATTCTGCCTCTAAAGAAATTGTCAGATGCTCAGTACTGAGCTCAAGGGTTTTGAAGTACCTTTTATTCCTAGCTAAGCATCTGAGGATGGCATGGTGCCAATTCATAATGAAGTTTTTCCTCTGATGCCAGCTTCTCCCATGGGGTCATACTCACACATACTTCCCATGAGGGCTATGCAGACTGTTGAGAAGCTCCTGGAAGAGAGTGGAGCATTTATGAATGGGCAAGCAAACAAAAATAGTATTGCACCGATAGAATAAGTTTGCATTAGTTTTTGCTTTCTTTCTGATTACTGTGTTCAGAGTTTGGAAGTAATCAACACACAAGCTGTATGTCTGAATTGCTAACAATCCTCTGAGTACCATTGGAGGCCTCTTGTATGTTTTAATGTTGACATCAAGAATATTCTGTGGAGCACTAATTTACATGCCAAGCCTGCAGTGAGTATTACTTTCGAATGTTCAATAATCTGGGAAAAAAATAGTTTTCAGGCACAAGATCTTAAGCAATTTCAGGGCTAAGTGCATTTTAAAAATTATCTCTTTGCACTTTGCATGCTTTATATTGTTAGCAGTGTGGTTACTTGGAACACAGGTGGCCAACCTTGTCATTTGAACATGCAGAGAGAAAAGATGGGAAACAATTCCTAAAAGTAAATATCAATTTACAGTGGTTGATAATAAAATATTTACCTCCACTGCTTACTATTCATGTCAGATGAGTGATAGTTGGTGTTAAGAGGAACATTTCCCCTCTTTGGTTTATTCCCTTTGCCCAAGGAGACTGTGAATAATAATACTAATTTTCCCTGCTTTATCCAGATCGAGTTGAGTGTGAATGCCAGTGTTTTAAGAAAGAACAGCCATTCCCCAAAGGTTTCTGTGAGATACAAACTAAAAGTGTAACTTGTGTTGAAAGGGACTCTGGAGTTCCTCTTGTCCAACCTCCCACAAAGCACAGAGTGACTGGAATTTAGACTGGGTTTCTTGTGGTTGTGTCCTATCATATTTGCTTACCTGGTGGCTTGGCCAACCTCATGGTGGAGAACTTCTTTCTAAATCTAATCAACATTTCTATTTCTACATGTTTTGGCTGCTGTCTCCTGTGCTTTTACTGTGTATCACACCCATGGAGTGAGCAGGAAGAAAACACTTGTCCCTGGAAGCTGAACAAACCCAGCTTCCAGGGTTTGTTGAACTAACTCAGCTTCTTCTCATGAGTTTTAAGACAAAAATGGTTTAGATGGTGATTGTCTCAGAAACTTCCAATGCACTGACTTAATTAAAAAACCTTCTCACAATTCCCTCTTTGTTCTATGGTCTTATTCATGCTGCATAATTCTTCCCTTATCTTCATTTACTGGAAACCCTCACCCAAGAGTTTCCAGTCTTGGGCCTGTGTGTCTCCCAGCTCAAAATACTTCTACTGGCATTTCTTGAAAGCTCCAAAGAGTGTTGGTATGCAGGGAGACCTTCAGAGCCGACGGACTTACAGCCATTGTCATAAAGGAGGTAGATAAGTGTTCTCAGCAATTTGTGAAGATGTTTCATTTTAGCATCTGTCACATTTGGTGGTATCTGGGGCTTTGCTTTGCACAAAAAGGAATGTGCAGTGATTAATCGAGGACTTTCTGGACACTTGCCTGCTGATTTTTTGCAAGTTCTGCAGTGCTGTTTAGCAATTCAGCAAACTTTGAAGCCATGAAGATTCTGGAGGATTAAACAGTTATAGTGTATTAATTCCTGAATAGATGTTCAGTTTTGCCTGCCTGGTTTTATGGGCTAACAAAAAATCCCATCCTGTTAATAAACTCTACTATAAACTGGTCTGAAATATACTGAATCTATGCTTTTGAATAGTTTTCATTAGATAGAATTTTAGGATTTGTTTAAGTTTAAACACTTAGCTGCTATAGCAGCATGTGAAACACTAGTCTAAAAGCAAGCACCGATAATGTATGTTTTTATAAAAAATGAATGAATGATTTCCAGAATTTGGACTGGAACAATGTATCAGAATTGACACTGCCCAGATGTATTGTTTCATCATATTTGCAACTGTAATATGGAAATATCAACTGTTTCCTGTGAAAATTTTTCCTCTGAAATACATTTACTTCTCCCCTTTCTCAGCCACTGCAAATTGACACCAGTGAGGAAAAACGATGCTGTCATTACTTAATTTCTTGAGACCTTATTTCAGCCGTTTTCCATACATGAGTAGGTGTCTGTCAGTGACATCTTCTGACCAAGTTAAAAAACACAGCCTTGGCAAACACCAACTGCGTTCAGTTGTGTGTTTGAATGCTAAATGCATTGGATGATAGAAAAATTAGAAACACCGTCTGTATCAGTCACTCCAAATCCAAATCCATAATGTGGTATTACTACATTTCACACAGATTTGGTGACACACTGGAACAGGTTGCCTAAGGAAGTTGTGGATGCCCCATCCCTGGAGGCATTCAAAGCCAGGCTGGATGTGGCTCTGGGCAGCCTGGTCCAGTGGTTGGCGACCGTGCACATAGCAGGTAGTTGAAACTGGATGATCATTGTGGTCCTTTTCTACCTAGGCCATTTCATGATTCTACAATTATATGATTTCTGCCAAGAAAGTGAAGCAGAAATCCCACTGAAAGCATCATCAGGGCATCACTGTCTGTTTGACCACCTTCATCCTAGTACATCACTACTTTATTTTTCCAACTTTTTAGGCTAGAGGTCCCTGGGAGAAGTAATGGGCTTCATTGCAGGTGCCTGCCCACAGGACCAAGGACTGTGTGAAAGCCTGCCATGTGCTTGTGGAGATGTACTTCACCAGGCAGGACCTGCGAGGAAACTCAATCCTAAGGCTATGCTGGCAAATCTTAGAATCATATCATCATAGAATATCCTGAGTTACAAGGGACTCACGGGGATCATCAAGTCTGACTCCTGGCTGCATGCAGCATCACCCAAAATTCAAACCGTATGTCTGAGAGTTCTGTCTGAACAATTCTCATACTGTGGCACTTGGGGCCATGCCCGCTGCCCTGGGCAGCCCATTCCATGCCCACTGCCCTGTGGTGCAGATCGTTTCCCTAACCCCCAGCTGCCCTCCCCTGACACAGCTCCATGCCGTTCCCTCAGGCCCTATCGCTGTCACAACGCTCCTTGTAAGGAGCTGCATCTGCCATGAGGCCTCCCCTCAGCTCCTCTGCTCTGGGCCCAACACACTAAGGGGCCTCAGACACTCCTTGTATATCTTGCTCTTGCTTCCATGAGCAAACCTTGCATGAGCAGCTACCAACAGTTTAGGCAGCTGATGCAGTTTTAGCCAGATACGCATCTCTCATTCCTGTGTGTTTGTAAATATATAGGTTGCGAAGGAGATGGGATCTACAGCTAAAAAATTTCTCTATAAGGTTACCTGTTTAATGACTTCTTAATATCAATACTTAACCCACTGTTCATCAAAGCCCATTAACCCTTCTCTGACTTTAGAGTTTAACAAACTTTCCAGCAGAAAAGTTAGGAAATCCTGCAGCAAACTGGTGCAATAATAACTTCTCTCTGTGTACCTCAGTTAAGGATTCTCACCTGCTTCAAAGCACAGATGCTTATATTTGTGCTTTTAAATCCCACCTTCTGCCCCTCTGTGATTGTTTCCATGGTTGTCTAGTATCTTGTTTAATTATCTAGTGATTGAGCAACCTCTTCTATTTTTGAAGTCTACTGTTCCTCATCTAACTGAACTGTAAAAAAACAAAAAGCACCAACCACCTCTGTTGTGTCATTGTTTATTCTGAATAGCATGAATATTCTGATACACCGCTTTGCCAAGTCAGCTAGGCCTTTCTCAATTCACAACATCCCCTTTTTATTTATTGCTTCTGTTTCCTTCAAAAGAAGTGGGTTCTGGAGTCTAAAATATCAACAAATGAACAAACAATAACTACTACAACAACAGCAAAAACTCAAACCCAAACCCAACCAACAAACCCCCAAAATTTTGGTTCGTTTTAAAATCAGTCAGTAGGGATGTTTATGCCAAACACATTCAAAGCACCTTCCACACCACAAAGGCTGCAAGCAGTAAAGTCCTGTCCCAAGGTGCACAGCACAGAAGTGATTGCTGTGGGATTTCTGAGTTTGCCTTGCAGCTTGTGCTGGCACTTGAGGCAGAAGTCCTGGGAAAGCATGACAAAAGTCAGGCATATACATAAGAAAAGCTCTTAGGACTTGAACTTGGAATTACTTAAGAGAAGCATTCCCCAGTG